TTTGGTCGCTGTTGTGAAAGAGGGATCGTTTGTGCCCCTTCTGCCCCTCTAAATTTGCCGCATTGGGAAAAAATTTTTCCCGGTCGTTTACCTTTCCGTGATTTTTCCCGTTCACATTGGCTTTATATTCCCCTCGCTGGATGGAAAACTGTTGTGTGAAAAAGTGGAAAATAAGGGAAATTTCGAAAAAACTGGTAGGAAGCTGGGAACTTGTAGGAACGTGGTAGGTGCTGAGGAAGGGGGGAGGGTCGCACCGAGACTCGCCCTCGAGGGGGAAGGGGGTGGTTGTACCGTTATCTCCATTTCACACCATCACGATTCTGTACACTGTGCCTCCATCCCCTCCTGGCACGCTTCATCATCCGCGGCGAACAATACTGTATGTAGCTATAAAGCCCGTTGTTTTTGCATTCAATTCTAAGATTGCGCACGAGTCAAAGCAAATTTCAGCCCCTCCTGGGTCGGCCAGATAGTAACGGATGTGTGTAGGGCAAGAATAACGCAGGCGCTTGCACATGTTCAGCTTCTGTGGTCTTCGGAGCAAAGATGGGATTGAATGTGAAGAAATCTGAACCGAACAGTTATTGAGCTTTTATCGTTGGAAACTTACTTGTCTTTGACTTTCTAGGCTCGAGGCCAATCAACACGTCCAAATGTAGGTCCATTAATTGATATGTCCACTGGTGGCCACCGTAATCCTTCATGCAAACCAAGCACACATTCATGTATGATTCTTAGTGCAGACGTCTGCGCTTCACATCAAGCGCTTAAACTTTAGCTTCTATGGTAGCTGCTGAATCGAGTGAGGCATAAAAAAGCTTAAAGCATCCTTTTGCCCTTCTGGTGCTACCTATTACTGAAGGCGGGAAGTACTTCACAGTTGTGAGTAATGCGATCTGAATGGTCCATAACAATGGTATTTCACTGCTTTAAAGTAAATTGTATGTTTACGATGATTATAATCAAAAAAACCTGCGAGATATGAGACAAAAATTGCCTGGCTAAGCGTGTTCTCGTCATTTTCGTAATCCTTTCTTGCTTTAGTGTATTTAAAGGCAGTTGGCACGATAGTTTCCTACTTAGCCTAAAATGCTAGTAGGGCGCTGTATAGTGGGGAAATGGCGAAAGAACGGAGTGAAACGGTCAAAATCCTGCGAAGAAAAAGCCTCCGTTCTCAGTGACTTGTAAATCGATTTCGGACGAGTTTCCCGTAGGCATCTTACCGAAGATACGGCTGCATATGTGTACCCATATATGCATGCAGCATCACGGCCGCTTCATACCAATCCCTTCGCTTCATAATTTGCTCAGCTGAATGAATACGAGCGTCAGAAACGGTCGTCCGTTTGTGGGCGGGCAAGGAAGGCGTTTGGGACGTAAAGTTGTTGCTCAATAGGGCGTTATAGAGGTACCCTCCTTGGAAAAGGCTTCACGCAGCGCCTGTCCGAGGTCACGGAATTCTGTTAAGCCAGTTGTACAAATCCTACACCTGTATAGCGATTTATCGTGCCAACTGCCTTTAAGCTCGGAAGAGCATACGGTCACCGTTCTCCAATGAGCTGCGGAAAGTATAACTCTTGGAGTTTCCCAATTCAAGCAAATGTAGGAAGGAATCCTCGGCTGCAAAAACCTCGTCAGCGATCAAACATTACGGCGCTGCCGCATTTGCCTGGGAATCGAAGATTGTGTCGGCTGGACACGTTGTGGGATTTTCGACATTATTTGTTAGAACGGTAACTTACTGTATCCCTTCAGTTACTGACTGAAACCATGGGGGTGTCAAGTGGACGCCAGAGTAATTGCTGTCCTAGTTGTCACGTTCCTTCTGCTATGAGGGAACGATTTGCTTTCTTCCTGTGGAACGAGGTAGTAGGGGTGTTGAAAAAGTTGTTAACGCCTGCTCGAGGAATTCGATGATCAACGGGATGACAGACTATAATAGATTCAGAAGCAAAATGCTCAGCGCTGTCTGTGCAGGGAATATCTTCGAATGCAACTCCCAATTGTGTGAGTAGGGGAGGCCAATTCTAATTCGGCGGTTCTATCTCCGGAGGACATGGTAACAAGTTCCGGCAGACAATAAGGATTAGCGATATTATCAATCCCTGGGAAATGTCGAGAAGGTGATCTTCACATTTTACTACCCTAATTGAGGAGGACGTTGCAAGTGGCGAAGCAAATGATGCTCGCTCTTTGAAGCGAGGCGTGCACTTCAATCCCATCTCAATCGACGTTTATTTATGGTGGCGTTCACGGGAATGAACACATCTAGGGACCAGCGATTAGTGGGCAGGGAAGAAGACAGTCCTCAGATTCAAGTATCATATTACATCATAGTAAATGCGCCATATTTTTCCTCTGAAATGATGCGAGAGATTCCTTCAGCATCTGATTCCTAGTCATCATCTTCGCCAGGCTCCGCGCACCTCTGAAGACATCCGTTTGATGGAGTTGACAGATGGAGCGCTGTCGTGACTAAAGCAGCTGAAGTATACTCTAGTTCGCTGCGGACTGTTGGGCGTGTCTGGCAGTATGAGTGTGTCACGCTGTCAAAGCCGTTCTCTGCCTTCTTGTTGAAGCGCGCATGCGACAAAAAGTGGTAGAAAACCAGTAATAC